GATTACAGGCACGTGCCACCATGCCCAGCTAATTTTTTGTATTTTTAGTAGAGACGAGGTTTCACCATGTTGACCAGGATGGTCTCGATCTCTTGACCTCATGATCCACTCGCCTCGGCCTCCCAAAGTGCTGGGATTACAGGCCTGAGCCACCGCGCCCGGCCTTGTTTCTTATATTGATCAATGCAATTTCTAGGTACTAATAAGTCACTAAATAATAGATCATAAAAAATTCTGGAAGCATGAGGGGTTTTGCTGCAAGGAACCAAAATTGTAAAGGTGTTATTTGGTGCTATTCGATGTACGTACCGGTGTTTGCAACATGTAATGTTCCAGAAATTATGTTTGGCATCTCCTGGGAAGAGGAGCTCTCTGCCAACCCATCATGGTTATTTGTTCTTCTCCAATTCTTATAAGGACTTTTAGGTTCTCCTTCCAATATACAAGTAACTGCAGAGCAGCCACTCCATTGAACCCTGGACACTTCTTTTCTTCCAAGACGTAAAAGCCTATCCATTCTCCAGAATGCTTTTGCAAAGGCTTTGTGTATGTCCTCAGACTCACATCTCACTGCATCTGCTTTGTTTATGGCAGAAAAGAGGTCTTCTATTGCTGTGTATTCTTCTCTAAACACGGTGCAAAAGGACTTGATTATTTGCTGCTCATCAGTTGTCATTTGGTAAGAAGGATCAAATTTGGAAAGCTGATGGAGAAGTAAAACTGGGAGTTCCACTGATGTAAGTTCTGCCGCTGAGGCACCATGATGTCCATCGAACAAGCCGAAAAAACACACATTAGGTTTATTACCAAAATTACTCACTACAGTGAATTTATCATTCATGTCAGCTTTCCATGTAGAATTCCTGTCTTCACAAATGCCCACTCCTTTAATTAATAGATGACATATCTTTTGAGAATATACAACACTCCTGTCAATGTTATCAAAAATCTTATAGTATGCTGGTGGTATTTGTTTTTTCCAAAGCAGCTCAAAAGCATTATTAATGCTCTGTAGGGTTTTTTCAGTGAGCATAAAAGATGACAATAGTTTAGAAATCATGAACTGTCTCTGAACAGCAATCACTGAGGGCTGTGGTTTCTTTCCACCCATCCATTGGAAACCCAGTGTGGCCAGAGCTACATGTTGCTTCTTATGGAGAAAAATACCAGATAGGTCAATTTCTTGCTTGCATATGAAACAGGGTAATGTGGTCACTTGCTCATAGACCTGTTCCTCTTCATGGCTTTTGGTGTCTCTCAGTGCTCTTGACCTTTTCTTTCTAGAACGTCTTCTTTTGGGTAAAAGTGAAATATACTCATCTGTATCAAATGTCGATGTTTTCGTATTCCATTCTCTTGATTTCCAAAACACTCTGCAAACAGGATGAAAGATATTTTCATACAAGGATGATGCAGTGAAAATCTCTTCAAGCAAGCTCTTATCATTGCAATTTGATTTGGCTCCTCACACTCTTATATAAGCCTAGATTTAAATATTCTGATTCACATTCCTCAAAAAACATGTAAGTACTAAATTAATTGGTGATTGACCTGTGTCTGCCTGAAATAAATTAGGCAAAAATTCCACAAAGTCAACTAGGCATCTAAACACTCAGAGAAATCAGCACAATATTTTCCCTTAGACGTGTGAAAGTATATATTTGAGACCTGACATTCTGATTTCTAATATGGACATACAGTCATGTATTGCATAATGATGTTTCAGGCAATGATGGACCATATGCAACAGTGGTACCACAAGATTATAATGGAGCCAAAAAATGCTTATTGCCGAGTGACATCATTGTTGCCTCAATGTAATAAAGTGCAACACATCACTTATGTGTTTGGGGTGATGCTGGTATCAACAAACCTACTATGCTGCCAGTCAAATAAAAGTATAGCAAATACAAGGCCGGGTGTGGTGGCTCACGCCTGTAATACCAGCACTTTGGGAGGGCGAGGTGGGCAGATCACTTGAGGTCAGGAGTTCGAGACCAGCCTGGCCAACATGGTGAAACCCCATCTCTACCAAAAATACAAAATTTAGGCCAGAGGCAGTGGCTCACCCCTATAATCCCAGCACTTTGGGAGGCCGAGGCGGGTGAATCACAAGGTCAAGAATTTGAGGCCAGCCTGGCCAACATGGTGAAACCCTGTCTGTACTAAAAGTAGAAAAAATTAGCTGTGCATGGTGGCGGGTACCTGTAATCCCAGGTACCTGGGAGGCCGAGGCAGAATTGCTTGAACCTGGGAGGTGAAAGTTGCAGCTGAGACTGCGCCACTGCACTCCAGCCGGGGCAACAGTGCAAGACTCTGTCTCAAAAAAAATAAATAGGGCCGGGCGCGGTGGCTCAAGCCTGTAATCCCAGCACTTTGGGAGGCCGAGGCGGGTGGATCACGAGTTCAAGAGATCGAGACCATCCTGGTCAACATGGTGAAACCCCGTCTCTACTAAAACTACAAAAAATTAGCTGGGCATGGTGGCGCATGCCTGTAATCCCAGCTACTCGGGAGGCTGAGGCAGGAGAATTTCCTGAACCCAGGAGGCGGAGGTTGCGGTGAGCCGAGATGGCGCCATTGCACTCCAGCCTGGGTAACAAGAGCGAAACTCCGTCTCAAAAAATAAATAAATAAATAAATAAATAAATAAATAAATAAATAAATAAATAAATAAAATGGCCACATCTGCTTTCTTATCTGTAAAGTGCACGAGGTTGCTTTCAGCTTCAAATGAGGTAAATGGTGAAACGGTACCTAGGGGACGCTCAAAAAAATCCCTGCTCATTCTGTTCTAAGTTAAAAAGACACTGAGAACGATGCCAAATAAAAATACATTAGAGAAAGACATGAAATTACAATGCTTAGGGAGAAATGTGCTCTACGTGGGAGATCAATGAGAGAGGATTGTTTCAACGACCTGTATTTGAGAATTGTGTAATGCATATTTACTAATATGTTGTGGTAAGTTGTTTATATCATCACTTAGTTGCAGCTATGTTACATGGTTTAAGAGAAAATGAACGTGGCCGGGTGCAGTGGCTCACGCCTATAATCTCAAAGAGGGGAGAGGATTGCTTGAGACCAGGAGTTGAGGACCAGCCTGAGCAACACAGTGAGACCTCTTCTCTACCAAAAACTTAAAAATTAACTGGACACGCCTGTGGTCCTAGCTACTTGGAGACTGAATGGGGAGAATCACTTGAGCCCAGGATTTTGAGGTTTCAGAGAGCTATGATAGTGCCACTATACTCCATCCTGGGTGACAGACCCAGACCCTGTCTCAAAAAAATACAAAAAGTATGCTAAATTAAAAATAAAATGTGAGCTGGATAAATAAAACAATTAGAAATATATGTAAATTAAAAACGAATGTAAAATAATGTAATGGCCATAGAAAATAGGTAAATATCTTTAAGGTGCTAGCCAGTAGAATTTGAATTCTGTAAATTATGCAAAAATCACTTCTAGGAAGGAAAGCCTTCTATGATAAATGATAAATAAAATAGTGCACTATGTGATAGGCAAAACGGCTTCAGCAACTTTCATACACGGTTTACACATGGCAATATAAATAAAAATTAAACAAGCAAGCAAAGCGCTGATAAATTTGAAACGTTTTGCTGCTAATAAAGCAGCAAATACAAATAATGTATTTAATTTCCTGAAGTGTACAACCGTATTGGATACAGCTACTTATCCTTATAGCAAAATTTTATTTACAAATGTCCACATTATAACTACTTCTGGAACTATTTGCTTATTGGGAAGCCTTCATGGCTTTCCTCACCAACAATTTTTTTCCTTTTTTTAATGGAAAATCTAAAAATTACACAAAAATCAGGGTATAATAAGTCCCCCTAGACTCATCACCAGCTTCAACTGTTATCAACATTTTTTTACTCCTGTTTCATCTATATCCCCATCCATCTTATTTTATGTGATTTTATTTTGTTTGAGATGGAGTCTCGCCCTGTCACCCAGGCTGGAGTGCAGTGGTGCAATCTTGGCTCACTGACATCTGCCTCCTGAGTTCAAGCAATTCTTCCTCAGTTTCCTGAGTAGCTGGAACTACAGGCACCTGCCACCATGCTCAGCTGATTTTTGTATTTTTAGTAGAGACACAGTTTCACCATGTTGGCCAGGCTGGTCTGGAGCTCCTGACCTCAAGTGGTCCACCCACCCCTACCTCCCAAAGTGCCAGTTTACAGGTGTAAGCCATTGCACCCAGCCTATGTTATTTAATTTTATCACAATTTGTGCAGTAGTATTTTAATGCCAATCTCCAAATTATATAACTCACCCATAAATACTTCAGTCTTGGCAAATTTGATTAGCATCCAATCACTTCTTCAATACCTACGATAGGCCAGCTACCATGCAAGGTGCTGAGATTCACAGACGGATAAGGATGCGCCCTGCCCTTGAAGCTATGAGGGGAAAAATTCGCAGTGCTTTCCATATGCTCATCCAGGTCATTAATAAGAGAATGAAACAGGTCAGGTGGAGCCAAGGACAAAGCCCCGTTATTGTGCCCAACTGGGAACCTAGCCCTTCATCTGGCTAGGAATGGCATAATGAGACCTGAGAAAATGAACTAGGAGAACTCACAGCTGAGACATATTAGCAAGGAGTCCAAGGCAATATCCAAGGGAATGATCAGTTAGCTGGAAGAAGGAGCAAGAGGACCCAGCAGAAGAAATGGACAGACAAGCAGAGCAGTAGGGGAAGAAACTGGGTCTGTCAAGGCCTTTGAGTGCTTTCGGCCAAAATATATAAATATATTTTAATTGCTATTTTTTTGTAATATTCATATAAAGAATGTAGTTTTATGAGCCTTGATGGACTACTGGGACAATATATAAGGCACCACAATACTATGATTTGATCTGAAGTCACTTATGTCGGAACTTCGTTTTTTCATATACAGCTCTATCACACATGGGCCATCATTCATATGTTTGTTCACTCACAATAACAGATTAAATAGGCCAGGCATGGTGGCTCATACCTATCATCCCAGCACTTTGGCAGGCAGATCACTTGAGGTCAGGAGCTCAAGACCAGCTGGCCAACATAGTGAAACCCTGTCTCCAATAAAAATACAAAAATTAGCTGAGCATGGTGGCGGGAGCCTGTAATCCCAGCTACTTGGGAGGCTGAGGTGCGAGAATCACTTGAACCCAGAGGCGGAGGTTGCAATGAGCCGAGATCGCTTCATTGCACTCCAGATTGGGTGACAGAGTGAGACTCTGTCTCAAAAATAAATAAGTAAATAAAAATTTAAAAATAGAATTATTTAATTAAATATAAATACGTCAGAATAAGAGCATAGAGAGGAATGCAAGTCCTCTTTTGTATAAGGTAGAGGGATATATCACTCTTCAATATGTGAGATGAAACAGGAAGCCAAGGTGTCATCTGATAACTAAGAAAGTGAAGGAAAAAGATACTATAGATATAATTATTCATTGGCTATACTTATTATCCCCCCAAAAATTAAGAATGTTTACCTTAAAGCATTATTGATGCTCATGTTCCTTTGGAATTATCTTTCTTTGCCCTCCCTTCATCCCCTTTCCCTGGCCTCAGTTTCTCCCACTTGAAAGTGATGGTGATGGTGAGGGTAGAGGTGAACGTGACGGCCGTGGCTGAAGCAGTGGGGATAGTGATGAGAGCAGTGATGGGCGTTCCCCTGACTTGAGGGTAGAGCTCCCTGTGTGGAATGTTTAGTACATCACCTGGAACCTCAGTCAGAACTCACTTTGTGATTCAGAAGGACTGTGAAGCAATAACATCACAAGTTATATAAAGTAAACTTTGGAATTTCTGAAAGGAGGAGCATTTATTAAATATAGTCTTTCTTACTCTCCCTTCCTTTCTCCACCCTCATGGTGTATGCTTGACTCTGCTTCTCACTTGTCTTCTCACAAAACCTTCAGGATTAAACATTTTCTGGCCAAGAAACAAAAGCAAAACCATCCCATTCCCCCGTGGTTTCTGATGAAAACCGGTAATAAAATCAGAACTCCAAAAGGAGGCATTGGAGAAGAACCAAGCTGGGTCTATAAGGAACTGCACTTGAGACGACACACATATTTACGTTGTGCGAAGGTCATGACTACTTTACCATAGCGAGCTGAAAATGTTACCACTTTCTGGACAGTTGAACATGTTTTATTGGGAATATATTTTTTCTCTCCGTGTGTGCTATGAAGGCACTGGTTGGCTGGGTTCAGTAATAAATATGTGAGTTCTTCCATTTCTCTCTCTCTCTCTCTTTCTCTACATATGTATATACTGTCTTACTGCTGGACACAGGGACTCATGTCTGTAATCCCAACACTTTGGGAGGCCAAGACAGGAGGATTGCTTGAGGCCTGAAGTTCAAGACAAGCCTGGGTAACATGTCGAGACCCCCATCGCTACAAAGAAACAAACAAAAAAATGAGCATCGTGGCACACACCTGTAGTCCTAGCTAATCGGGAGGCTGAGGCAGGAGGGTCACTTGAGCCCAGGAGTTTGAGGCAGTCAGCTGCAGTCGGCTATGATCCTACCATTCCACTCCAGCCTGGGTGATAGAGTGAGACCCTGCCTTTATTTATTTATTTATATTTTTTTCAATATTGTTTTTATTTATTTTATTTTATTTTTGACATGCAGTCTCACTCTGTCTCCCAGGCTGGAGTGCAGTGGCACCATCTCGGCTCACTGCAATATCTATCTCCCGGATTCAAGTGATTCTTCTGCCTCAGCCTCCCGAGTAGCTGGGACTACAGGTATGTGCCACCACACCCAGCTAATTTTTTGTATTTTTAGTAGAGACCAGATTTCACCATATGGACCAGGCTGGTCTCGAGCTCCTGACCTCGTGATCCTTCCACCTCGGCCTCCCAAAGTGCTGGGATTACAGGTGTGAGCCACCATGCCCGGCCGACCCTGTCTTTAAAATAAATAAATAAATAAACAAATAAATAAATAAACTGTCTTAAGCCTATGTAGTAGCATGAAAATGTAAGAGGGGTGACTATAAAATAATTTTTTTATAAGCTGTGGCACTTTCAAATAGCCATTTTAGGAGGCTATCCTTACAATACAAATCGGTTGTCTTCCCCTGCAGCGTTAGAGCTCCTCAGGCCATCTCTCCAGGACACCTCCTCTACCTGCTCTGTAGAGCCTGTCCTCCCCATCTTGCTGTCTCAAGTAACTGCCTGAGAGTTGTAGTTCTTGACTGGACTGGCTTTTACAATTATTTCCCCTGCCTTCACTCCTGGCTAATATCTTTAGTTCCTAAATCTTTGATCCACAGCTGTGCCATTCCCTCACCCCGAGGCTGACTTAGAACAAGATTACTAGAGCAGGTGGTCTGAATGCTGAAGAAGTTTGGACAAGCCCAACTGTCAACTAGGTGTCTCCCTGAAGAGATATCAAAGTCAACTCAAAGTTGACATGTTCAAAATGGAACTCACTAACCTTCCCTCCAGAATCTTCTTTGATCATCAACTTACTTTAACTGGAACATCTCAGAGAATCCTTTTTCCTGTGTGGTTCCAGGTTAAATTTGGCCAAGAAGGAATCTTAATATTTCAAACTTTGGGGTCTATATTGGAAAGCTGTTTTCATCCAATGAGCTCACCCACAGATGCCGAAGTGTCTAGCATGTTTCTGCTTGTCCTTTGTTCCCCACCACTCTGCCTCCAGCTTTTCCTCCAGCTCCAGGTCTTGCTCACCAATAGCAGCCCCAAGCCTATTAGATGGCACCTGTCTGTGGGTCCACAGAAGCGAACATTTCCTCTGGACTTCCCCATCAGCTTCTCCATCATTGTCCAACTTTGGCATCTGGATGTTCCTGGCTGCTCAGACTGACTGGTTAAGGACTTCCCTGATGCCCCAATTCCTCAGATGTTTAGTTGACCAGCTTCTCCCACAAACTAATTTTAGCAATAAATTCTTTTTTTCCGCAATGCCCAGGGTCTGCTTTACTGATTGAACCCTAGCTAATAGAGGGAACACCACCACCCCTCCTCCCTTTCAGGATATATGAAATTGATCACCAAGACCTGTCAGATCTCTCTCTCTTTCTCTTTTTTTTTTTTTTTTTTTTTTTTTTTTTTT